CACTGCCGAATTCTTCCTTTTCAGCTCTTGGCCGTTCTCAATCTTGGACGTGGTTCAGCCAGTTGCCCTACAAGTTCAGAGGCCTTTGATCACTGTGGTGAGTCAGGGTCGTAGGGCGAGGAGCACTTGTGGAGCCGTGCGCTGTGTGAGGGTCTTGGCCTCTGCTTCCGCTCTGAAGCCTGCGGGTGGCGCAGCCTGGCCTCGTGTCCTGTCGCCTTAGGGACAAGCTTCTTGGTGCTCACGCTCTTTTCCAAGCGCCTTTCCCAGGGAGCTGCGCCGAGTTGGTGCTCCCTTCGTTACGCGGGCAGCTCTGGTAAATGTTTCAGCAGCTCACCTGTCTGACTGTGCACCTGGCTTCCGTGGCATCGCTGCGTCGTGTCTCCCCTGGGTGAGCTCCCTTCTCTTGAAGAGCTCCGAAGGGCGCTCGGAGGTTGGCCGGCGTGCCCAGGGTTGGGCAAGGCTCCCTGGAGGAGGCTCTTGGACTCCCCGAGGCAGATGTGTGACGTGCTGCAACATCAGCTTCAGAAAAGTGGCAAAGTTCGTGGTGATAACACCGGCACTGCTGAACGGATTGTGGCAACACTGTTCTCAGCTCGTTGACAGAGTGAGGTTTTGCTGAATTTGTTCCTCCTTGATGCGATTTGTGGATCTCGATAAAAGACTCTTTATTTTGTATTTGTCTGACAGCTGATTCTCTGTTGTTAAGGTAGTCGGGTGCAGGGGGTGGATTTAAAGGCCACGAAACATCGCTGCTTGTGCTAAAACACGAGCACGCAGGTATTTTTTAAAGTGAGGTTCTGCTGGCGATTAGTCTTGTGACCAAAGCTGTTCAGCGCTTTTACGGGCGCTGCAGATGGCAACGTTGAGATCCCTGCTGGTGAGTTTGGGGTCGGGGAGTGACGCAGAAGCCGATTACTGGTTGTGATCCGGGAAGGACCGAGAGCTGCCGGGGACCGGCTGCCGTGTCGCTCTGTGGGGTGACCAGAGGAGTGTCTGTCAGGGTAAGGAACGCGGTGTAGGCTGGGTGTGTGCGGTGGTGAAAATGCTAAAATGTTACACAAAGCGTCGGTCCCCCCGCTGCCAGGGGAGTGGGGCAGTAGCAGAGAGAGGGTGAGGAGGCCGTAAGCGTGATGCAGGATCCAGAGAGCAACACTTAAAGGCACTTAATCAGCTTATCAGAGAGCAGGCAGAGGGATTGCTGTGGGTAGCTGCTTGCACACTGGAGAAGAGGCTTGAGGGTGGAGAACTGTCACATTTTTCTGACAGAGCACGCAGCCGTGGTCTCTGCAGGTGCCGAGACAGAGTGTTGGTACTGCACCAGTTCCGGTTTGGAGTAAGACATAGTTTTCTAACAGTGAGGATACTTCAGTTTTTTGCAGGAGTGCTCCAGGGAACTGGGAGAGCCGTCCCATTCTAGACCATTTGTGGTGAATATTTTACCTTCTCGTGGTTTGGACTCCCCCAAGACGTGACAAGCCGTATATTTGCCTGCGCATCCCTTCCTTCATGAGCGTTAGCGGGGACACCTGCACGTGACCGCAGATCTGTCTGAAGGCTCTGGTTAAGGTCACTTCTTGGCTCGGATTTTTACCTTCAGGGGTTGAGCAGGACTTTTTGCCCTTAATGCACGTTGGCAGGATAAATCCTGGTGGACTCTTGGGTAATTTTAAACCATCAGAAACTTCTGAGCACCGGAGATGCATTACTGTGCGTGGTTGGATCCGTGCTTTACAGAAAGCTTTCTTAGACACTCCTGTGTCAGAGCTTGGGCAGAGCAAACCACCAAGTCTGGGTTTAAGAGTGACCTTTCTTCACCTCCAGTTGGCTGGGACCGTGCAGGAGGGTGTTGTTCTGTGGCACGAGGTGCCGTAGCTGAAGTCTGGCTCTTGGCATAATTGTAAGGCGTTTCAATTTAGGCTTCTTGGACCTGTTTATCCAGGGGATGAGGCTTCCCTATGTTACCCTTGGTGGCCCTGGTTTCTGGGCTTCTCTCGTTCACACCACCTCTTCCCGGGCCCTGGAGTAAACCAGGCCCGTCTTGTGGCGGAGGACGAAGTCAGGGGTGA